GGCTGATTCAATCAACGACCCCAATCTGAAGGATCTGTTGCCTTATGGGTTTGGCATACATCATGCTGGTATGAACGTCGCAGATCGAACCTCCGTCGCAGAACTCTTCGCCGACGGCTTCTTGAGAGTGCTCGTCTGTACTGCAACACTTGCCTGGGGTGTGAACTTACCCGCCCACACTGTCATCATCAAGGGCACACAAGTGTACTCGCCTGAAAAAGGTAGCTGGGTGGAACTGAGCCCTCAAGATGTCCTTCAGATGCTGGGACGAGCAGGTCGCCCGCAGTTCGACTCCTACGGCGAAGGTATCATCATCACTTCCCAGACAGAGATGCAATACTACATGTCACTGATGAATCAGCAATTGCCCATTGAAAGTCAACTTATGAGCAAGCTGGCCGACAACCTGAATGCAGAGATTGTTCTGGGCAACATTCGTACGCGCGACGAGGGAGTGGAGTGGCTCGGCTACACTTATCTCTTTATTCGCATGATCCGATCTCCGGGTCTGTACAGTGTCGGCGCGGATTACAGCAATGACGAGACCTTGGAGCAGAAGCGCGTAGATCTCATCCATTCAGCTGCCGTCGTCCTGGAAAAAGCCGGGCTGCTCAAGTACGAGAAGAAGACGGGCAAATTGCAAGCCACGGATCTCGGCCGCATTGCTTCCCACTATTACATTACTCACAATTCCACGTTGACTTATAATCACCACCTTCAGCCATCGATTGGCACTATTGAGCTCTTCAGAATCTTCGCCCTTAGCGATGAGTTCAAATACATCCCCGTCCGGCAAGATGAGAAGCTCGAGTTGGCGAAACTACTGGGCAGAGTACCCATTCCTGTCAAGGAAGGCATGGAAGAACCGCAAGCAAAGATAAATGTGCTCCTTCAAGCATTCATCTCGCGGCTCAAGCTGGAAGGCTTGGCCCTGATGGCTGATCTCGTCTACGTCACGCAGTCAGCAGGACGCATTCTCAGAGCAATTTTCGAGATCTGCCTGAAGAAAGGCTGGGCCAGCGTAGCCAAGCTTGCGCTGGATCTCTGCAAGATGGCCGAGAAACGAATGTGGCCCACAATGACACCTCTCCGGCAGTTCCCAATGTGTCCAAGAGAGTACATCCAGAAGGCTGAGAGGATGGAAGTCCCATGGTCTAGCTATTTTGACCTCGACCCTCCACGAATGGGCGAACTCCTGGGCATGCCCAAGGCTGGACGAGTGGTATGTGATCTTGTCTCTAAGTTCCCTCGGCTGGAGGTGCAGGCACAAGTACAGCCGGTGACGAGGTCGCTGCTCCGTGTTGAGCTCACGATAACTCCAAATTTCGTCTGGGATGAAGCGCTCCACGGGACTGCCGAGTCGTTCTGGATCATTGTCGAAGACTGCGACGGCGAAGAGATCCTGTTTCACGATCAATTCATCCTGCGACGCCAATTTGCCGAAGGTGACATGTCGGAGCACTTGGTAGATTTCACCGTCCCCATCAGCGAACCGATACCGCCCAACTATTTCATCAGCCTGGTGTCCGATCGATGGATGCATTCAGAAACAAGGCTGCCGGTGTCTTTCCAAAAGTTGATTCTGCCTGAACGCTTTCCGCCTCATACACCACTCCTGGATCTGCAGCCAGTGCCTGTTCAAGCCCTCAAAATCAAAGACTATGTTGACCTGTACCCCAAGTGGGACAGATTTAACAAGATTCAGACACAAGTTTTCAAGTCTTTGTACGACAGCAACGACAGTGTGTTTGTTGGCGCTCCGACAGGCAGTGGAAAGACTGTCTGCGCCGAGTTCGCCTTGCTCAGACATTGGAAGAACCCTGAAGCAGGCAGAGCTGTCTACATCGCCCCCTTTCAGGAACTGGTTGACAGCCGGTACGCTGACTGGAATGAGCGGCTTCGCCAAATCGGTGGAGGCAAGGTTATTTCGACATTGACTGGCGAGATCACCGCCGACTTGCGAATCCTCGATAAGTCCGATCTTGTCCTTGCGACCCCAACCCAGTGGGATGTTCTGTCGCGACAATGGCAGCGTCGCAAGAATGTGCAGAATGTTGAGCTTTTCATCGCTGACGAGCTTCATATGATTGGCGGCGAAAACGGCGCCGTCTATGAAGTCGTGGTCTCTAGGATGCAATACATCCACATCCAACTTGAGAACAGCATGCGCATTGTCGGCTTGAGTGTACCTTTGTCGAACGCCAGAGATGTTGGCGAATGGCTTGGGGCAAACAAGCACACCATCTACAACTTCAGTCCCATGACCAGGCCCGTGGGATTGCAGCTACACATCCAGTCATTCTCGATTCCGCATTTCCCATCACTGATGATGGCTATGGCTCGCCCGGCCTATCAATCTATCCTGCAGCTATCGCCTGACAAGCCGGCTATCGTCTTTGTGCCTGGCAGGAAGCAAGTACGAGCGTCGGCCGTCGACATCCTCAACGCCTGCATTATGGATGACGACGACGAGCGATTCCTACACACCGATGTCAGCGAACTCGCTCCGTTCTTTGAGCGCATCAATGAACAGACGTTGGCGGAGTCCTTGAAGCATGGCATTGGCTATTACCACGAAGCCCTTTCGACCAGCGATAAAAGAATTGTCTCACACCTGTTCAAAGTGGGCGCAATTCAAGTCATGATCTGTTCACGAGATGTATGTTGGGAAATCCCTTTCACGTCACACCTGGTCATCATTATGGGCACGCAGTACTTTGTCGGCCGCGAACATCGCTACGTAGACTACCAGATCAGCGAGATCCTGCAGATGTTCGGCCGCGCAACACGCCCTGGCGAAGACGACGTGGGAAAAGGCGTCCTGATGGTCCCGGCCGTCAAGAGGGAGTACTACAAGAAATTCCTCAATGAGGCCTTGCCGATCGAAAGTCATCTACAACTCTGGCTTCACGATGCGTTTGTGACAGAGATAAGCACCAAGACCATCACATCCACGCAAGACGCGGTCGATTGGACAACGTATACATACTTCTACCGGCGCTTGCTGGCGAATCCATCATTCTACGGGCTCAGCGACACCAGCCACGAAGGGTTAAGCACGCATCTGTCCGAACTCGTCGAAACGACCCTGAAGGAACTCGCCGACGCGAAGATCATCGACCTCGACGAGGAAGACGATTCCCTTTCCCCACTCAACCCGGCCATGATCGCGGCGTACTATAACATCAGCTTCATCACGATGCAGACCTTCCTCCTGTCCCTCACTGCGCGCACGAAACTCAAGGGACTGCTGGAGATTGTCACCTCGGCGACGGAGTTCGAGTCCATCCAGCTCCGGCGCCATGAGGATCACATCCTCAGGAGGATTTACGACCGCGTCCCCGTCAAGATGTCCGAGCCAGCTTATGACTCTCCGCACTTCAAGGCCATGGTTTTGTTGCAGGCACATTTCAGCCGGATGCAACTCCCCATCGACCTCGCCAAGGATCAAGAGGTGATTGTGTCGAAGACCCTCGCACTGTTATCCGCGTGCGTGGACGTGCTCAGCTCCGAGGGCCACTTGAACGCCATGAACGCCATGGAAATGAGCCAAATGGTCGTGCAGGCCATGTGGGATCGTGACAGTCCGTTGCTCCAGATCCCGCACTTCGACTCCAAGGTCGTGGACATCCTCGCCAAGCAAGGGATCAAGGACGTTGACGAGTTCATGGCGGCGATGGACCCCTCGGAGAATCCCGACCAAGCTAAACTCGTGGCCCAAATGGGCCTGAGCAACCGGCAGCTCGTCGAGGCCGCGCAGTTCACCAACGAGAAATACCCGAGTCTGGAACTCGAGTTCCAAGTCGAGGACAAAGACGACATCACCGCGGGTGAGGCCGCGCGTCTCTCGGTCAAAATCACCCGCGAAACCAACGAGGATGAGGACGAGGATGAGGAAGACGGAGACGGAAACGGCAAAGACAAAGACAAGGAAGTCGACGTCACCGTGCACGCGCCGTTCTATCCCGGCCGGAAACTCGAGAACTGGTGGCTCGTCGTCGCCGAGGAGAAGACCAGGTCGCTCCTCGCCATCAAGCGCGTCACCGTCGCCAAGACGACCTTTGCCACCAAATTGGAGTATGTCGTCCCCACGGCCGGCAAGAAGGAGTTGACCCTGTTCTTGATGTGTGATAGCTACGTTGGCGTCGATCAGAGCATGGCTTTTAGTGTTGAGGTTAAGGAAGGTGAGGAGGATGAGGAGGATGATGATGACGTGGACGAGGATGATGAGATGGAGGGTTGAGTCTTGTGTGATGACGGGATGGAGGGTTGAATCTCGTGTGTGTGATGGAGGGGAGAAGAGAATAGAGGAATAGAGCGACATTTCGGGATCGAGCACTGGAATGTGCCGCTCCATGGTTGGTACTGTAGTCGAAGGACGACAAGTGGCTGGCGACAGGCGACAGGACGACAAAAGCAAGGCCTGGTTGCCTGGTCGGTGTATTTCGCGCACGTATGAAGAAAAATGTGACACAGCTAAGTTTTCCATTTACTGTACTTGAGGCATACTTGTTCGTATGGATCCAGCAAGATGAGTCCATGGCCGGCAGATTGAGAGTCTTCATATTGTTGAGATTATGAATGGAGGACTCCCTCAAGTCTGATGTTTTACGTTTAAGGATTCCTCATGAGAGGCATGCTGTATCAAAGTCTACCGAAGCCGTGTCGATCAGCGCTCACAAAACTTGACCCTCAGCACACTTGACCCTCAGCACACTTGACCCTCAGCACACTTGACCCTCAGCACACTTGACACTCGTGCCACATGCATAACGGCCCCCTAATTTTAACGCAATTCGAGTCCCTCCCGTGGATCGCCGTATGGAGTGCGAATCCATCCATGGCATATGGTGGTCATAAGGCGATATGTCATAACAGCAAGACCACAGCCATGATTCAGCCAAACAGACACCACAAAACCATGCCTCCTCCACAATGTCCTCTTGGTAATTGACAACACGACACAGTGATGCCACTTGTGCAACTGCTATGCTCCTTTCTCAAGCCAATGGCAAGACAATCCTTTTGGCCGTCTTGACGTTCAGCCACTTGATAATGTTTGGATAGCGGCATTTTCGAGCAACGAGCACAAATTCGTGGTCGTTCCGGCAATTCGGCTTGTTCTCTACTTCTCCGTCTTCCCTTGCCTCCTGGCTCGAACCGTCGCCATGGATCTCATCAGACCATGAAGCTGTCTCCAGCACTGTGCCCATCACCCCTGCGATGTTAGCCTTGTTTCTGAAGAACAGGTAGACCAGATCTGGTTGCTCGTCGTCGCTGAAGTCCATGCACATCCTGATCATGCGCTTGGTCGGCTCCATGCGATTGATTAGACAGGCTGCGACATGCCTGTAGACGGCGACAAACCCCTCCCTCATCGGCTTGTAATGTTCCAGATACTTGACGCTGTATCTTGGCAGGTGGAAAATTCCCCAATCACACTTCTCCAAGAACTCTCTCCCTGACATTTCAAGCAAGTCCTCAAGGCGATCACATTCCATGGCGGCCGCCATATATAAGGAAAAATTCATGCGGGGGCTTATGTAGCCGTCACCGCACTTGTTACAGGTACAGCCATAGCGAAACCGTTCGAGATCGTCCTCTGAGTCGATTTCAACGTTCTTCAACAAGCCTATGCATCTTGCTTGGTTGAGCGTATGGCCGCGGAACTTGTCGGCTTCGTAGACCACCGAAGCACCGACCAGTGCCCTCGTCCGCATAATCTCGAGTTTCTCGAGTAGCGCCTCCAGAGGCTCAAACCTGCTCGAATTGCGCATTCTCAGCAAGTGATCCGAGCAGGACTGCTTCATGATCCAGGCTAGGCTCTTGGGAAAGAACTGCAAGCTGGCCAGATGCAGCAGTGTATTCTTCTCCTGGTCCGTTGCTAGCCATCGCAGGTCGTCGGATTCCACGTGCCGATATTGCCGCCGAACAAGTGCCAGGAATTGCTTGTCAGAACGGGCACTTTGGATAGAGTCTGGCAGCATGTTTTCGACCCGGTCGAGACCGTGAGGATCACGGTCGCGTTCTACAGGCAGGACCGCATCGATGTTACCTGCTATGCACGGGAGGCCAAACCACATCGATAACCCTATCCGACGGAAACCGAGCGACCGTGCCCACGGAGTCGCCGCAGGATCACACTGGTCGAGAACCTTCGCTCTGAACAGGCCGCCTGACGTCCACAAGAGAGTCTTGAGCAGATCCTGGAAATGGCTGTCCTTGCAGGATTGAGGCCAGAGAACGGCCACGAAATTCGCTCCTTTGGTTTTGCGTCGTGCAACCTCGAAGAGTATTCTCACCATTGCTTTTCCCAATCCCTGCCGTCGATACTGCTCGTCGACCGCCACGTCTTCAATGAGCAAGATGTCGTGCTCATCGAGTTGTTGTTGCCAGACTCCGGACCGCTTCCAATATTCATGACGCTTATAGGTTTCTTTCAGTCTCCCATACTGGTCGAAGAGGTCGAATGCCATCAGAGTTGACTCGTCAAAGGGCTTACACATTTGGTAGTGAAAGGAACTTCGAAACGTCTTTCTTCTGATCAGCTTGGCTCCACAGAACCCGACACGACTCGTGCACGTGTCCCTATCTATTACCGGACGAGCAGGTGTTGCAACGACGTCGATGGTTTCTAGCCAGGGTATGCCCGCGAACTCGTCATAGTGCGCCAGTTCATCTCGGAGGTAGCCGACGTCAAAAGGCTCAATTGTGTGGTTTCCTAAAGTGGGCTGGAACCGGGGGTCGTCTGCAACAGTAGGGTACTCGTCATCATCGAAGCCCTTGTCATGACTGTCCTCGAATTTGGCAGATCCGGTCGTCGCGAGGTAATCAAGTGGATCCCCTTCCGCACAGGTAGAGGCAGGTTCGGGGTCAAGAGACTCTGCTTTATGCCTGGAGTGTATTCTCACTTTAAACTTGAATCGTTCACCAGATAACGGGACCGAAGAAGGCTGCGGGAGTTGGGCCAGTGTCTGTTTACCGATCAGAACGAGGCTCTGCCTTGGGAACTCAACTTACCTCATTGATCTCTGGCACTTTCGTGGTGCGAGGGACCTTTGACACAGACATGCTGACTGCGCAGTCGTCCTCGAGCCGCCGCTTGTTTGACTTCATCGTGGTTTGAGTAGATGAGGTGCAGGGGAAGGAAAGCTTCAGAGAGAAGTGGCGAGCTCGTCCGGTGAAGCAGGACAGGTGTCGGACAAGGCGGAGGACGTTCACTGAAGGAAGAACATATACATAGCCTGCAGAAAACTGGTTCAATGGCACCGCAGTAAGAGCGCAAGAGGAAAGCAAATCAGGCTTCAAATGGGGAGAAGCAGCAACGCGGTCACGCACAAGTGAGGCAGTCGCGAGCTGGCAAAGTCACCATGAGTCAGGAGTCAGTGGACTTCATTCACACGGCTTCATGGACCCGTGAAGCATTATGCGTGCGTCTCATATACCTACACATTGTACAGGCGGCCTCAGACCTGCCTGTCTATGGGTTTCGATGCTGGAGGTTGTCAATGGGTCGAAAAGCTGAACATGGATATCGTCACAGTGCGTCATCTAGGGGGTCGTGCTCGACCGGAGCAACTTACTTACCAGCGTCGTGTTTTATATGGCTGCGCAGACAGTCCCGAAGCGCATCCCGCGGCTTCTGAACGCTGTGGGGAAAGAGCAAAGAGGCGCCAAAAAGGGGTGGTACATGTTCCGGGGGAACAGGCCCGCATCCGATGCACCTTCAATGAGAGATATTTCTGACCCGACGACGATGACTTTTGCCAGGCACACCCTTCATATACCCCATCGTCCGTAGACTACCATCTGCTTGTCGACCTCGTCTTCTCGAATACCAAACCCTCGACCGCAGATTCGAAGTGCTCCGGGCTCAATAAGCTCCAGTATGGCGACTGCAAAAGGCCTCAAACAGATCCTCACCAAAGCACCTACCGACGTGGTCATCCTCTCCTCCCTGCGGACACCCGTCACCCGTGCGGTCAAAGGCGGCTTCCGCGATGCCCACGACCACGAACTCCTCATGCACGTCCTGCGCGCCACATTGGCCGCCAACCCGAGCCTCGACCCCGCGAAGATCGACGATGTAGCCGTGGGCGTGGTCCTTGCCGAGCTGGGCGGCAGCAAAGCCGCGAGGATGGCGCAGTTGCACGCTGGCTTCAACGATCGGACGGGCCTGCATACCGTGAATCGAGCATGCAGTTCGGGACTTCAGGCAGTAACGAATATCGGCAACTCCATTGCGGTGGGGCAGATTGATGTGGGCGTGGGCGCAGGCATGGAGAGCATGACCAAGAACTATGGCAGCAAAGCTATCCCCGTCAATCTGTGGGACGAGCTGAGGAACAGTCCTATCGATAATGCCCGGGATTGTATCATGCCCATGGGGCTGACGAGCGAAAATGTCGCGAAGAGATACGGCGTCAGTCGAGAGGATCAGGACGCCTTTGCTGCCGAGTCGCACCGCAAGGCATCAAAAGCACAAAAGGCCGGGTTATTTGATTCGGAGATCATCCCCGTCAAGGTCAAACAGACCGAGCCTGAACACTCCGACATGCCAAAGGAAGTGGTGGTCGACAAGGACGATGGTATCAGACATGACGCCAGTGTCGAGAAGATGGCCAAATTAAAACCCGCCTTCTCCAAGGACGGTTCGTCAACGGCAGGAAACTCGAGTCAGATCTCCGACGGCGCCGCCGCCACGTTAATGATGCGGCGGTCAACGGCCAACGAGCTGGGACTGACGAAGAGCATCATCGGCAAGTGGGCTGGCTCGCAAGTTGCCGGTTGCAGACCCGATGAAATGGGTATTGGGCCTGCTATTGCCATTCCCAAGCTGATGGACTACACGGGCCTGAAGACCGAGGACGTCAATGTCTGGGAAATCAACGAGGCCTTCGCCAGCCAAGCCCTCTATTGCATCAGGAAACTCGGACTGGACATTGAAAAGGTTAACCCGAGAGGAGGTGCCATTGCTCTCGGTCACCCCCTAGGCATGACGGGTACTCGACAACTTGCCACTCTTTTGCCCCAGTTGCAGGAAGGACAAGTCGGTGTGGTGAGTATGTGCATCGGTACCGGCATGGGCATGGCCGGCCTTTTCGTCAGAGAGTAGGCTCTCTTCCGGCCCGGGGTTGTATAAATCCGCGACATGGCAAGGCGTTTGACGGCGCAGTTGAAAGGCAAAAGTCTTGAACATGCGCTCACGTGAGAGTTCTCAGCATTTGTATCGGAAGAATCAGTCTACCATGTCAACGGCATATAGTCGAGCAATTTCAGTATACATTGTCTTGTCCCTTTGTGATTGTCCTTCCCTGGTATTTGTACACAGCATTCATCTTGTCATATAAAGGTGTGATGCATTCCCTTCGAAGGCTCAGTTCGCATCGTAATCACAAGGGGCGACATCTGCCATCGCATACGACACAACGCTGCGACCATATAAACGCTTCATGGCACAGCCCTTTCTGGGAACTACCCTTGTCACACCACGCCACCCTCGTCCTTGCGCCACGTCTCACCAGCGGGCACGAGTTTGGGAATCGGGTACACCGGTAAACCGCGATTCTCGAGTTCGCGCTTGATGACCTTCCATCTTCCGATTTCCATCTCGCGGTCGACTTGGGTCTCGCGGCGGGGGAAGATCATCACGTTCGGACCCAAGGGTTTGAACTTGGGCTTTTGCTTGCCGGCTTTTGCGTCCGTCGCTTCGGTCGTGGGGACGGCCGTGCCGGTGTGCGCCTGCAGGCCTTGCTCGGCGAGGAGCTTCTCGCGAGCAGCGAAATCCACCGCTTTTTTCTGCTTGGCGAGAAGGACTTCCGCGAATTTTTTGGGCTTGGGCTTTGCGGATTGGGTGAGTAGGTCGATGAATGCGACTAGAGGTTTATTACCGCGGAGCACGGTGTTGAGGACAGGATCCGGCACGCGATGGCCGGTCAGTTCGGAGAAACGTTTGAGGATCTGTGTGAACAGTGAGCCGGAGCTGCGAGAACGTTGTTTGGATGGGGTACCGCATTGGAGCAGGAACATACAGCAAAGGTAGTAGGGTCGTGAAAATCAAATCTCGCGTCCTGCAGCTGTTCTTCAATCTCAGAGACCGAGAACTCCACCTCTGAACCTTGCTCCCTCGCTGCCTCGGATCCTGCCTTTGTCTGTTTGAGAGTCCCATGAGGATCGTCCAGATGCGATATTGTACCCGTGCCTGACAGCTGGATTTTAAGAGATGCCATGCCACCAGCAAAATTCGGTGGGCCGTCTGTGTGAATGGTCTTTGGGTCTCTGTTGAGTTGCTTGAGCGCGAGGCATTCGACAATGGAGATCCAGAGGAGGGAGAGGAATTGGTCGCGTTGAGGAGGTGTTGCCTGGGTAGTATCTAGCCATCTATGTAGGTGCTCTCGTTAGCTCTCTCGCTTGGGTTTGTCTGAAAGCTGTCCTGGTAGTACTCACGGCTCGTAATCATCTTTTGCATCCGGGAGGAGATCTTTCCAATGTCCTTGGTGGCCCATGTGTTCCAGCCCGTCCCATGTTGTTGCTTCCACGTAGGGTTCCATTGAAACGCCTTCTTCTGCCGGTGCGGGTTCCTCCATTTGCTGAGTGCGCCCCGCGAAAGAACTGAGTGAAACAAGGCGCCGTTGCTCCCGTGGATGACCTGAAGCTTGCCGTCTATCTGGTCGAGAGGATAGAGTCGTCCTGTACCGAATTTGCTGGCATTCTCGCTTGAGTACATGTCGACACGTTCGACAGACATATTGTGGAGTTGTTGCAACCGAGAGGCCCTTGCTTAGAAGCTGAGGAGCCCTCACCGCAGAGGCCATGGTGTTAGACCAAAAAGCTATCAGCGTTGCGCCGGGGAGGAAAACGCAAGTGGCAGAGGGAAATAAATCATGTTGAATGAAGTTCGGCGCGATTCAAGGCGGACAAGTTTCATTTACGTCGAATCAATAACAACGAATGGCAATCTACGGTGGATTCTTTGTAAGCGGATCTGCATTATGGCTTTTCTCCAGGTGAGGACGAGCCTCAAGTCTAGTGGTCTGCAATGAGATGCGATGTGATGCAAATGCAAGGTTTTCATAATCACGAGCGGCTTCCTGTCGTGCTGTGAGATCTCGTCCAGCGCTCGAGAGAAGCCATCCTGTTTATCCCGTCCAATCCATCAGACGTTGAGAACATCAAACCTGACACCTTCACAGTCAGAACAGCTCATAGTGCATCTGGCAGTCATAATGCCTGCACGAGCACAAAATCCCCTGCGCGTTGCACGACTCGTTCGACACCTTTGCCAGCTGATATCTCTTCAGTTCTGCGGTCTTGTCGGGCGCAGTGGAAGCTGTGTGTGGATGATGATATGCATGCTTCTCCTCGCTGGTCCCAGAAGAAGCTGAGTCCCCTCCTTCTCCACTGCCTTGCTGCTTGACCTCCGACTCCTCGACCAGCTCCGGGACAGGTGGAATCGCGTCCTGCTGCCCAACGGGAGACAACCAGCCGTACTTCATCATGACGATCTCACGAAGTCGGGCGTGGGTCTTGAACTGATGCACCACGTGCTGGACCTGTCCCTTTTCATTAAGGATCTCGCCCCACTCGCTGAACAGGACCATGGGCGTAGTGCCGACCGTGCCAAACAGTGCGTCCGCGTTTGGCACCAATTTGGCCCTCCCGATACCCTTCTTGCTCAGCTGTGCGTCTAGAAGCCCGGAGTAGTAGATGTGGATGTGCATGGCCTGGTCGTTGCAGCTCCAGGCTGACGCCGCAAGCTCCTCGGCCATCAAGTCCAGATAGATTTGCATGGCTGGTGCGGTACCGTAGGTCGAGCCGGCACAGATCCGGTCCAGAGGCATGTAGACCGATGAGACGTTGTGATTGATGGCGTTTGACAAGGCACAGCCGTCAAACCATCGAACGTGCACGCTGCATTGCCCGATCTTCAGCCCTCGCCATTCGGCGAAGTAGAGCAGCTCGGCGCCAGGGTCCACCGCCATGGCAAAGGGGTTGCGTTGGAAGACAACGTCCAGGTCGATGGCTAGCACTTTGTCGTATTGGCCGGAAACTTTCCTCAAGTACTCCGACCATCCCTTGAAGCGGCACAGGACGACATTTACGCCGCCGAGGTCTGGGAGTGCTGGGACGAGTTCCAGGGCGGGATACCGTTGCAGAAGCACCTTGAACGCTGGCGAGATCTCTTCCAGGGAGTGCGCTGGTACCAGGACGTGCACATGGACAGAGGCTGGCGGACATGCCTTTGCGCGCTGGCTTGACAACAGTTCCTCGCCAAGAGCAACGTCGAGTGACTGCATGAAGACGAAGATCTGGTCTTCCAATTTTTGCCCATCAACTGCGCTGAGGATCAGATTCGGCTTCCCGACAGTGCACCCTGAGTCGGCGGAATCCAGGGAAAGCGAGCTGTGGTGTCCAATTGGCTTCGAGGCCGTTGTTAATGCCGCATTGTCTCGAGTCTGGGTAGTCAGATGAAACGTCGAAGTCGTCGTCGTGGGAGAAATCGAGGCATGCTGGTGACCAGTCGTGTGGGTTTTGGCTCCAGTGTATTTAAGTGGGCCATGCAACGAGTGCGCAACGGTGTGCCACAGGTTCGCAGTATCCAATCTGGAATGAACCAACGGTGGCCCGATGAAGGCAAAGTAAACGAGGGACAGCCCGAGGATGATAATCCCACAGAGCGTCGGCAGTCTGCACCAAGAAATCATGATGGTAGATGCATGAAGGTGAGGGACCAAGATGTTCCTCGAAAGGTTGTAGCAGAAACTTCGAGGGGGAGTCATGCAAGGGATGTGCTGACACGGTGGTCTCGTAACAGCACTGGCCACGTCGAAGATGTGACCCATCTCTGGCATGCTCCTGCAAGGAATCAGGTGACCAGCCCTTGGGTCGCAATCAATGCTTGAAGAGGGTTTCATTGTTTCCTCTCCCCATGCCGTCCAGGTCTTGCCGAAGTGCGTTGAACGGTAAGTGCCTGTGGTGTCTCTGATCCAATGGTGGACGTACACTTCACGTCCAGCGGAGCAATCCGTCGCCGCCATGACAGGTCCACTCCGGTCCAGAGCTCAGTTGCTGAAAACAGGGCTGTGGTATGCCATGCTGGGCAGAAGAACAATTGTTTTGGATGGATCATCAAATGCGAAAACAAGGTGCTGATAAAGGCGAAGTGAAAGCTGTCGAGCCCGTGCCGTGCCTATGATGACGCCAGGACGTGCGTCGTAATGAAGGAGCAACGATGAAGCGAGGAGCCCCTCAAACTCGTGCCTCAAAGTGACATGGTATCCAACAAGCTCGTAATGCCCAGCTCGGCCTCTTGCACATGCAGCTGCTCCAGCCCGTTCATTGCACGGGACCACCTCATTAGCAGACCCTCCCGATCGGGCCAGGCGAAGTCCTCGGCCCTTAGTGCATCCAGTGCTCCGGCGTCCATCTCAAGGGCAAGAATCTTCAGGAGTGCAAAAGCTATGAGGAACCTGGGGTCTCTGCGCCCCTCCTGGTAGCTGGTGACCGAGTCGCAGAACATTCGGTCGACTTCCGCTTGTCGCACTGTATACGTCGCCCGGTGATCGGAGACTTCAGTCAGCAGGCTCTGGTATGCTTGTTGGCTGAGTGGTGTGGCAAGTATCTGCTCCAGCTGGCCGGAGATGATATAGTCCCAGACCTCTGAGTAGAGGACTCTGCGCTTGTTTTCGAGACCGGGCATCGGCGGCTGATTAAACCGAGTCATCTTCGAGGCAATGGGCATGATGATGGCTGCCCTTTCGAATTCTTTCAAGGCCTTGAGTAGATTGCCAATGAGCTCTCGTAGCGATCGGGTTGCCTCCTCTGCAAGAGCGTTCCAGGCTGCGAGAATCTTGGAGATGTGCCTCGAATCGTTCAGTCGATCTGCGACCTCTGCTGAAGTCGCCTCGGATTCTTCTCCGGCCAGGAACGTTTGTAACCAACACCACATGTTGTTCAGCATGCGATATTGCAGCCACCTGAATTTTGCGTAGTCGGCAAGGTGAGCGGTAAAGTCGAGCAGCAAGCATATCGCATCGTCGATGGTCTTCGGAGTTTGTAGGCTGGAGGAGTTCGATCTTAGTATACTGCCGCACCTGAGCACCGTCCACGGGAGACACAGGTGAAACCTCAGTTCGTCGTCAGGAAGTCGCGGAAGCGAGGGCAATATGCGTCCTGACAGCCCGGTATGTTCGAGAAAGTCGCATGTCGCGTGCCAATGGCCGTGTCCGCCACACTGACCGCACCTGGCATCTTCCACGAGCTGGATCGGTGTAACTTGCGACGGTATTTCCCCATCAGTAGTGGGCTGCATTCGTTGAAAGACACGTAGACTCTCAAGCCGGCCGGTCAGCGCAGAAACGGATTGCTGGTCCATCTTGGTGTCTATGGTCGCCGCGTCATGAGAATGTAGGTCGCGGAATGTGAGAGCAAGTCGCTGAGTTAAGAGCCGATGTCGATGCAAAGCCAGTGACAGTGACTGACTGGCCATGTGACTAGATCCACTGCCTTGAGAGACCAATTCACTGCCCACCGTTATGTCCTCACGTGGGTGCCTTAAGTGAAGACAGCCTGGATCCGGCATCCTGCTTGGTGTCTGTAAGTGAAGCCTCCGCTCTTCCATGGCCAGTTCGCTGAGACTCCTGCCGCACCCGGGTGATACTCTCGAAATAGTATACCTGCTTACCTGCACAGCGACCAGTTTATACCCGGGCAAGCATTTTATCTGCTCAACAAATAATCACATATGTATCCAGGTGGTTGGTTTGATCCAAGCCGGCTTCGTGTTTACCTCTCCACTGCCTCAGGCCGTGTCCTGCACAGTGCAAGGACGGGGATTGACGTCAAACTGTAACCTCTTTGTCTCACTAGTGGTGCCTCAGCAATCAACCCTTGGAGGTATTAGTTCGCAAGAAGGGATTGCACTCACCAAGACGGCATGGAGAATATCATCAGTTGGTGCAATAGGCCATTCCTCACCAAGGTCTTATGGCCATAACCAGTGTATTTGTGTTGAATAGTGACACCAATTGCCGACATCTCACACACAGCTGTCCGAAACGGGTGGCTATTTCCCCTCAGTAATCAATTTGTTTTCGTATTCGTCGATGCTTGCACAAGTGGACACCGGCAATCGTATTTCAGTGGCTGAGATCCAGACGCAACAGATCGTCCCAACGGCTGTTTTCTTGCCATGCTCTGAAGAGACCGATCTTGATCTCCGGAGGTGTGCTCCTCTTGGAAAGAAGCTTGCTCTGGAAGACGAGCAGCGTTGTATGACCAGTTCGCAAATATAGGAGGATGATGTGGTATGATGGCAGGGTTCGTGATGTGAGACATAGAGGGTAGCGAACTATTCAAAAGGGTTCCACGTGTAATATGAGAATGGGCCAAGGACGGTGTTTTCGATATTTTGCTCGTCATTCGCCGTTGGAATAAAGCTTTCAATGCCGGAAGTGATGCACAAATAATTGCCAAGTGCGCTTCAATGTCGGTCAATGCCTGTAAAGACAGTCAGCATCTCCTCCAAGAATTTAAGTGTATACCTTACAAACGTCGGCCACCCATACCAAGTAACGTCATGGGTAGTGGGCCCCAGCTGGTAGTTGGAGGTAACCTTCACGAGGAATATCAACCTTGCAACACCGATTCCAGCTGTCAATAATCCAGCAGAGAATAAGGCGTACGGGCTGAGTCGTTGTCGGCTTGTCGTGTTGAGATTTCTGACCAACAACATTGGCAAGAGGGAGGCATATATGTCGGAGAAAACTGAGACTGCCGCCGAGAACAAGATGGGAATCTGCTCGTTGCCGCATCTATACTTTCCAGTATAGTCGGTGTTGTAGGATTTCCAGTAAGAAACAAGCGGGCGGCAGACAAACACCAGTTCCAGGCCCAATCCAACAGTGAAAGCGATTGTCAGGACGACCGAACCAAGTACTGTGGCTTCTGGCTGATATCTTGCGGTAGACTAGTAAGATTGGAGTCTTCGTGCAAGAGTTGCCGAGTAAGAAGAAAAGCTCAATCAACCATGCGGACAGCCGAACTTACTCCAGTCGATCTATCGGAATATCCCAGAGATGCATATTCCAGCCCCAATTTGTAAGGCCCTTGTATTCCACGAAGGTCTACCCAATGGATAATACCTGAGGACGTCAGCGATGTTTCCGAGGCTGCTCTGGGCGGAAAATCATACAAACCGGCCAGCAGCAGTGCATCGTCAATGCCCACAGACTTGGCGAGATGCAAGCGAGAGTATAGCCTCAGTCCAACACCACTGTCCTCATAGCACAAGTGGTGATGAAAAGCGCAGCCCCGGCCCTTGTCTCAGGATTGACGTAGTTCGGAGGAGGCCAACTCTCTGGGCGGGATGAAGCTGCCATTGCAGAGATTCAATGCTGCGTTGTGCTGATCAGCGTGGAAGAGGCGAGTGCTGATAAGACACAACCAAGAAAGTTCCCTGAAAGATTTCAACTGTGGAAGGTACATCGAAAGTCAAGTTTGAGCTGTTCTTCAGAGTCTAGTTTGCACAACCAAACAGCTCGATTCTGAATGATAGCCCGGGGATCGTGATGCTGATTATCCGGAAGTTCAGCGTGACTTTTGTCGTTTCCTGGTGCGAGAGGGAAGATCGAGTAACAATTCACGTTCCTTCTTGTCTGATAATGTGCACTGGAGACAAGAGTGAGCTCTGGTGATGCTTGCAAATATCCGGGGTTCACCAACTCAACTTCAATTCACCCCATAACTACCTTCTGTGAATGCAGTATTCGTCCTGGCATTGCTCCAGCAATACCGGCCAATATCGTAGCTGACGAAACAGTCTCGGCTCTGGAACATCTGGAAGAAATGGTGAAAACTAGCTGCCAGCGGTGCGACATGGGAATTCTGTACACCCCGAGGCTATGCCGGACTTGCTTTCTTGAGTCGATGGGTGAAGTCTGCACTGTTCGTGTGGTGACAAGTAAAGATTCAGATTTGTGTGGAACTTACTCCCTGATGCGCTGGGTGTTTGGTGGCTGCCCACACGGCACAGGCACATTCATGTAGACATTGTACATGATTGTCTGTAGGAAGGCCTTTGTTGGCTCTCAACAACAACCAAACCAGTGAGCAAACATGATTCCACGAAAGCTGAGCGACACAATGGTCGAGGCTGCGTTACAGTTCCGTTAGTATTCCGCTGCTGTAACGCAGCTGGCAGGGTTATAGAAGGAGAAGACGATTCATAGACTGTCATCGTTTTGCAAAGCCCGAGGATGGAACCATGGAGGCCTTACAAAGTCGACTTCGACAACGGCGGGGTTCGAAAGGCCATGTTCACAATGGAGACAAAGTTATGGATTGGCTGGATTTCCTTGCGGCGCGGTCGCATGGCGCCCGGCGTGTCTTGACCATGGCTTACTGTCTAGGAGCAAATGCAGTACCTAGGGCAGCACGGTAGCGGAGGTAGGGCCCGACGAATATATACTGTGTACGAACGCCTGTGTGAGAAGTGCAAGAAGAAGTCAGTTTGTCCTTTGGGTGATCGAAATGGATATACACTAAAGGTTTCCTGCTCCCCCGTACCAATCTCTTGAATGACGTAAAGTGCTTGGCGCTCCACCCAATCTCAAATCTGAGCCGAACTTGAGCTCGAAGTCACATTCTCGTCGAGCCATTGCAGCATATCTTCCATGACGGTGCCAGTCTTGATTGTTGAATGGCTCGAAACTTCTCCGTCCCTTGCGGAGGAGACGTCTATCTCACCTTCGCTATTGCGGAGCCAGCACTACGAGCCCAGGGTCTGAGTCTTCAGACCTGGACATCCTCTCTCGTTCTTGCAAGACTGCTTCACAAAATTGCCGTCGACTTTTCCTCTCCTACTCCTGTCCCTGTACTGGAACTCGGAGCCGGCACCGGACTCGTTGGTCTGTCAGCAGCTGCCTTATGGAAAGTGCCAGTAATCCTCACAGACTTGCCTCCTTTCGTTTCTGGGCTGGCTGGCAATGTCAATCTGAACGCAGCGACAGTGAAGGGGTCTGTTCACTGCGGGTCGCTCGACTGGAGCCAGCCAGACTCTTTGATTCTTCAAGATGGCAGCCATTACGAAGCTGATAAGCACCCAGCTCGTATAATCCTTGCAGCGGACACGGTATATTCCGAAGAACACCCTGAATTGCTATCTAAGACCATCTTGAAATGGCTAGCTCCAGGTCCGTCTTCCCGTGCCATATTGACATATCCTCTGCGTGTGGCCTACCTCGACCAAATTCGAGAGTTATGGGATCTTCTCGAAGCAGGTGGTCTGGAAGCGATCATGGATGGTCAAGAGCAAGATGATGATGTCCACGGTTGGGACGATGAATGTCTCTGTGAATGGAGTGTCTGGAGGTGGAAGCAAGACGGCGGCCGAAGAGAGCGGGTAGTGGAAGAACACGAATAGTGGAAGAATATTGGCTAAGCACGTGGCTCTCCTTTAACCCGTGTCAAGCGAAATCCGACTTCATCTGCGACGGCCAGCCGTAGCTCTCACAGCGTCACAAAGAGCAGTACGGATGGCAGGAGACAGCTTTGGAAAGGCATTGGGAAAATGTTGAACCTGGGTCAGGAAATCTGCAGGCGGGTTGCTGTGAGCTGCACCTAGCCACCTTCCTAACACGACAGGCTATCGCCCGCAAACCCGTTATCATCTGCCTTTTCTCATGTGGAAGCGGGAATACGCCTCTGAATGCATGCAATTGGTGTAGCTTGGACTGCTGATGCGATTGTAGGCTCGAGGACAATGCTGCGCAGTCGATTCTTTGCCTAATTGGGCGATAGCGTATGTCGTGATCGGATATCACGATGGTATCATCACCACTTACTCCAACGACGACGCCTGGGATACGCCAAGACATACCGCATCTGGGAAGTTTTGTGGAGATACGACCACGCAGCTGCGTTTTGCTGTCGATACCTTGCCCACGTGGAGTGGTTGATCGGCGTCAACACGGCGTTTGTGCAGCTGGTTCCACGACCACCGGAGCAAAGACCGCCGAGGAGGTTGTTGAGAACACATATATGACGGCGGAAGCCTCGTATTCTAAAGCTGGGCTTCCGGTTAAGCTAGAGCCAAGCAAAAAACAAGATGGCTGCCAACGAAGCTTCAATCGAGGCGGACAAAATCACTGCGGTTCAAGGGAGTCCAGTCTCCGGTGCAAGTACACCTTACCGCTCTTCCGACCTCGACGATGACTACCATTTGTACAAGCGTAGCGACGATCAGGAGTTGGACATCATCGAGTCCAAAAGAGTCCTCCGCAAGCTGGATTTCCGGATCGTGCCAATCCTCTTCCTGATCTATTTGATGCAATATCTCGACAAGAATGGGATCAACTATGCCAGCGTTTATGGGCTGCAGGACGGAACGAATCTGCACGGCCAAGATTACTCCTGGCTGGGATCGATCTTCTACTTTGGTATGCTTCAGCATATGGTCTCCCGGCGCACAATCACCCACTAAACTTTCAAGGTTATTTATGGGCGCAGTATCCTGCTGGCTATGTCCTGCAACGACTTAGGGTTGGAAAGGTGATTGGAATAACGACCATTTCATGGGGCATTATCCTTGTCACGACGCCGGCTTGTTCCAGTTTCGCCGGAATCGCCGTCAACCGGTTTCTGCTGGGGTCTTTCGAGGCGGTAGTCAACCCGGGGTTTATTCTCATCATGAGCATATGGTACACGACTTCAGAACAGCCTTTGCGGCTGGAGGCCTACTACTGCACGAATGGCGTCGCAACCATGTTTGGAGGGTAAGTGTGGCAAGACTATTGAGCAAGTCGTCGGAGTGCTAATGCCACATCAAGCCTGATCGGATATGCCGTCGGCCACATCACCACCGGCCTGCCACGCTGGATGTATGTCTTCATCATCTTCGGCAGCATCAGTATTGCTCTGGGGATACTTGCTCTCATTTTCCTCCCGGATCAGCCGTCCACTGCCAAATTTCTCACCGATGCCGAAAAGGTCATCGCCGCGAAAAGAGTCTCGGCCAACCGTCAAGGGATCAAAAACCGCCATTTCAAGCGTTACCAAGTGATTCAAACCATCCAAGACCCGAAGACGTGGATTCTCTTCGTCATGGCAGTGGGTGCACAGGTTCCCAATTCTGCCATCACTCAATTTACATCGCTGGTCATCAAGTCATTCAACGTCGACACTCTCGGGACTCAGTACTTGCAGATCCCCGGAGGCGCAATCCAATTTCTCGCCCTGCTGGGCGGAGGCATCATCTGCTCAAGGTGGCCGAATCTGCGTTGCCCGACGATGATTGTTGCCAACACGATTTGCATCATCGGAGCCTCGCTCCTTGTCGGGTTGCCTGACAGCAACAAATGGGGTCGACTCGTCGGTCTCTGGCTTTGCTTTTTCCAGGGTCTCGGATTCAGCATGAGTTTGACCATGGTGAGCTCCAACATTGCAGGGTATACAAAGAAGCAACTCACGGCAGCGATACTGTTCACGGGCTACTGCGTCGGCAACATCATCGGGCCTCAGACCTTCAAATCAAGCGACGCTCCAGCATATCACTCGGCCTACGTCGCGATGCTGGTCGGCTATATCATCAAACTGGTGTCCATCATTGTTTTGTACATTTACATGTACCTCGTGAACAAAAAGCGGGACCGCGAGGCGGCAGCATCTGGCGTGGTGGATCTGGACGAGGAGAAGGAAGCCATCGAGCGCGGTATGCACGATGTTACTGAGCTGGACAACAAGGGATTCCGGTATTCCCTGTGAGCGTGTCGCAGCAGGATCTGGAGGCCCCCGGGGATGTCGCCCCGGGCGCCCACGTTCTGCAGTATCAATGTAACGAGCCTCTCCTTCTTGTCCACCCAAGTATTACAGGAATGTTACTGTGCTTTTGAAACCACCAGCCTTGAAGTCACGACGGGGAATCGGCAGGCGGGGCGCTGGGATGTCTCGTATACTTCTCGCTGTCCAGTCTGCCGTGGCATGATGGGCGACCGTTTTATATTTGCTTGATGCCAGCCCTTCTCGGTACGGTGACTTCAAGCTCACGGTGCTTTGAGAGGTAAGATCGAGCAATATTGCGAGAGACGTGAAATTTGAGGCGTCAGAGACACTCTGAGGATTCATAGTCTCCAACGTTCCCCCGGAACGATTCGTTCATCGTTGCTTAGATGGGATCCGTCGCCGGCTATTTCGCCTGTGGTGGCAGATCAATACTAGCGGCTTTGTGCGTCGAGTGAAGCGGGTGAATGAAGGAGCTAGAAAACCTGTATCGGACAACGCTGAGCCTGATGAGCGCTTACACGGTCGTGATATTGAGAGCCAGATGGCGCTCATAATTTATGGAAAACCCATGCATTTGCATCCCGTCGCTTCGCATTGCAGACCACTCGACTTGGGCCCTTGCTTGCCTCGTTGTTGCCGCGGTACGCCCATCCCTCGCTTCTTTCCCTCTACCAGCCTGTCTCCCTCCCTCCCTGTTTGCACATCCCTTTGCGTCGTCAAATCACGCACCGACCTTCTGCACGGGCAACCCTTTGAGATCTTCCACCGTGTACTCATCATGACGCTTAAATCCTAGGCCTTCCACGCCACTCACACCATCCTGCCTCCCCAGGGGCGTCATGTCCAACCAGGTGAACGTGTTGATGATGGGCTCGCCACCCCTCGCGTAGCTGCTATAACTATGATATACCTTGCCCTCCTCACCCACGCCAGAGGCCCCGCTGCCACTGCCGCCGCGGATGAACACGGAATGGCCAGGCTGTTCGCCGCGCGCAAAGTAGCCCATGCCACGAGCCTCCAGCTCGTCCTTGGTCTTGAAGTTGTACTTGACGGGCGCGACGGCCTCGTCCTGCGTGGCGCCAAAGTCGTAGTTGAAGCTGCTCCCGAAGGAGCTCACCCAGGGGAAAGTCCAGCCCATGCGAGCCTTGTACGCGTTGATCTTGTCGATGGGGGCGCGACTCACGGCCACGAACGTCGTCGAGTGGCCGTGCAGGTGGCGCAGGTCCGGGATCGAGTCGGCGAACACGGAACAGCTCGCGCAGCCGGCGTCCCAGTCCGGGCTGAACATGAAGTGGTAGATGATCAGTTGGGGCCGGCCGTCGAACAGGTCCGCCAGCGTCACTTTGTTGCCCGCCGCGTCGGTGAAGGTGTACGGCGTGGTGACCTCGACGACGGGGAGGGCGCGGCGTCGGCGCGCCAGTTCGTCGCGCGCGCGGGTGTTTTCCTTCTCAGCCTCGAGCAGCGACAGCCGGAGGGGGAGGTATTCGGCTGGGGAGACGATCTAGGATAGCCATGTCATATGAGCGATGCCGTGGCAGTAACTGGGAAGGGACATGTAATCAATCCACCTGAAAGGTCATGGCCTCCCATGACGCCGGAACTTAGAAAGCAGATCAGACAAGAGAGAGAGGTGGCTCAGATACCTTTACATTGGCCATTTTCTGGTCGCAATACCACCGGTAAGTCGCAGGTGGAATGGATGATTCTGCTGTTGCGGGTTGATGGGCGTTGTGCTCAGAGTATCTTCAGACGGTGTCTTGCTCGCGATCAAACACTGCACTTCTTGATAGAACAGTGAAAGGAAACTGCATCTCTCGCATCACTCCCATCCATCATCTTCCTCTTTATATCTACGAGGCACCAATCTCTTCGACCTCAAGCCTTAGGCTCAGGCTCAGGCTCCAACAAGGTTCATTATTTGATTGTCCCGGCCCCGACGTATTCGAGACCATTTCGATACGGGAGCAAGAGCGCGAACGGAAATGTTACCTGCCTCTCCTCTCTTTACCCCTACTTTACACTAAAGCATGATTGAAAAGGTGAACTGTGTATGCAGATCGCAGCGGGGAGGTAACCCGTACAGCGTCAAGGTCGCGCGACCTCGTATTCGTCTCTTCCACCTCCTCACACCGGCTTAATTAACGCGCCATCAGCTGATTTGGCGTCCAACATCCCTGCCACGCCCTGCATACCCGCCATTTCTGCCTGTTGGGTGCCTGAGGGTTAGCCGGCAATACGACGCCCAGACACGCACACGGAGATGTTGACAAAATGCACCCGCCATTGAGGTGTCGGTGCTGATAAATCACCACCATGGATCGGCTTTCTTGCTTGAGGGGGGAACTCAGCATGAATTGCCAGGGACGAGAACTCTGACAGACCCAGGGGCGCCACGCGTGCATCGAAGCGGGCAGGCACAGACAGGCGCAGACAGGCGCAGACAGGCGCAGACAGGCGCAGACAGGCGCAGACAGGCGCAG